ATATATATATATATATATATATATATATATATAATTTTTTTTTGTAGTTATTATGAATAAGAAAAATGAGCCTGTTTAACTGTTTAAATCTAGATCTACTATGAAATTCATCAGAATTTAACCCTTGATGTTTTGGCCTATTATTATTATTATTATTATTATTATTATTTGTTCTTGCCAGGTTGCATTATGTTTCTATCTGTTTCTTTAGCAGCTGAAAGGGATGTGTATTGTGTAAAGGTCAAAGCTGTTTCCCCACTCTCCCCAGTCACATTAGAATAAAAAGGACAGTGTCACAGAACACATACATATGCACATGAGCCGAGATGCATGCAACACTCAGATGTAAATGTCCTGTGATTGTATTGTGAGGTGCTGTTGTTAGACTGAGACTCTCTTAACATCACTCCTTACACTCTAAAAAATGCTGGGTTAAATACAACTGGGTAAAATAGGGACAAACCCAGCAATTGGGTTGTTTTGACCCAACGATTGAGTTAAATGTTTGACCCAACCTTCTGGGTAGTAACCCAACCGCTGGGTCAAAACAGCCCAACCGCTGGGTCAAAACAACCCAACCGCTGGGTCAAAACAGCCCAACCGCTGCGTCAAAACAACCCAACCGTTGGTTCAAAACAACCAAACCGCTGGATCAAAGCAACCCAACCGCTGAGTCAAAACAACCCAACCGCTGAGTCAAAACAGCCCAACCGCTGGGTCAAAACAACCCAACCGCTGGGTCAAAACAGCCGAATTGCTGGGTCAAAACAGCCCAACCGCTGGTTCAAAACAACCCAATTGCTGGGTCAAAACAGCCCAATCGCTGGGTCAAAACAACCCAATCGCTGGTTCAAAACAACCCAACCGCTGAGTCAAAACAGCCCAACCGCTGGGTCAAAACAACCCAACCGCTGGGTCAAAACAACCCAACCGCTGCGTCAAAACAGCCCAACCGCTGGGTCAAAACAACCCAACCGCTGCGTTAAAACAACCCAACCGCTGGGTCAAAACAGCCCAACCGCTGGGTCAACACAACCCAATAGCTGGGTCAAAACAACCCAAACGCTGCGTCAAAACAGCCCAACCGCTGGGTCAACACAACCCAACAGCTGGGTCAAAACAGCCCAACCGCTGGGTCAAAACAGCCCAACCGCTGGTTCAAAACAACCCAATAGCTGGGTCAAAACAGCCCAATTGCTGGGTTTGTCCCTATTTTACCCAGCACTGGGTTGTATTTAACCCAGCATTTTTTAGAGTGTATGTTGTGACGTAACACACAGCTGGAGGACGCTGCTCTTCTGCTGGATTCCTGCTCGGTTTGAGACCTGGATAATTCCCTTTGTCACATGCATTGCTGCAATGCATACAAATGGCCGTTTATATTTGTCACAAGAACTTATGTTATTCAGAAAACACTGAACCGTGTGCCCTGTCATCATTTACCAGTATCCCACAAAAGGGAATATTTATCTTGGCTCTGATTGACTTCATATGAGGAAGGTTTTGTGTTGAAACTCTCTATAATTAGAGCTCTGGTTTGGACACCATCAGGCAGCAGCTCAATTGCTCCAAATGGAAATAAGCTTTTAAGAGCTTTTGCCGCTTGACTGTGAGTTTTGACCACAGTGATGCAAATTACCAGGGTTTCCCGACATGTAATACACTTGAAACCATTTATTTCATAATATAAATAACTTAACCTTACAAAAAATGGCTGTGTGTGGTGAAGTGATGGTAATACCATGGTATTTTAATAAAAAGACTTCACACTTTAGAAGCTTTAGTTTCCAAAGTACAAAAATGTACGTGGTGCTCGCATTAAAACAAGAATAAAAATACTATTAAAAACTAAATCAATTATAAAAGTGAATGTAAATATATATTTAGATACATGAAGTGAACAATTGATATATGTAGTAATAATATTATTATATATATTGTGTGTAAAACATTATATACACACACTATCATTTGCTCACTTTTTATGTTACGTCTAAATGCATTTACATTTGTTTTTTCTTATTAATTATTAAATGTAGTATATGGTAGTTTAATATATGGTAATCCTTCTCAACCATAGAATCAAATATCATTCATATTTGATACTATTACATATACTAAGGCATTTCAAAGAATTTCAGATAAAAAAGGTAAAATACCATATTAAAAGGCTGTGATAGGTCCAAAAACCTTTTTTAAAAAAGGTTACAAATAGCTAGTTTTATTTAATTTATGAATTTTCTGAAATAAGCATGAGAACACCTTTTGCTCATTTATTTATCATGCTGAAAATGGGCGAGATTAAATACATTTTCATATAATAATAATAATAAAACTTGTAAAAAATATGATAAAAGCAACAAAAGGATATCAATTATTATCCTATTTTATAAACCTAAAGCAGTCCTATTTTAATGAAAGGGTATAATTTTATAAAAGAAGAGCTGTTTGGGCAGGTCCGTGTGTAAAAACCAGCAAAGAAATATCTCGAGTCTGGGAAACTGGGTTATGAGTAGATTATAAGCAGATCTGGTCTTTACTAAAGTCATTTGGCTTTGAGGAACGCACGACGACTCTCGCGAGATTTGAGTTTGAACCGATATGTGGGCGGAGCCGCCGCCAGACGGAGGCCAGTGAGTCAGAGACGAGGACGGACCGACTGCAACCCGACTAAACAACTCCCTCAAGTAACTTAGCCTTCTTCTGACACCGCACTCGGAGTTTGTCGCCTGGGATGAAATGCTTTTACGTGGATGACTTGAAAGGTGAGTCGTCGAAATATAAGGCTAGTTTGACGGTTGGGCTAACGGTCGTGTAAAAATATGATAAAAGCAACAAAAGGCTATCAATTATTATCCTATTTTATAAACCTAAAGCAGTCCTATTTTAATGAAAGGGTACAATTTTATAAAAGAAGAGCTGTTTGGGCAGGTCCGTGTGTAAAAACGAGCAAAGAAAGACGCTGGATCAAAACAGTGTACAAAGAAATATCTCGAGTCTGGGGAAACTGGGTTATGAGTAGATTATAAGCAGATCTGGTCTTTACTAAAGTCATTTGGCTTTGAGGAACGCACGCTACCGTTATAGTGCCGTACAAGAAAGTCAAAAACAATAATAGCAATTAATTAAAACGCGTAAGTAAATACCTGAAAAACTACACATTAAATGCCTGTGAGTGCAAGTCGTGATTGGAACATCTGCAGAGAGGTCGAAAAAGCACCGAGTCTACTAATGTGGTCTGATTTTGATGGGAAACCAAGGGAGATACAGATCATTTTGAACCCTACAGCACCAGCGGATGACCGAAGACATTTGTCATAGGGAACGACTTAGTATTTTTGAAAGTGACAGAAAAAAACTCCTCTTGGCACAAAATAGACATTGCTCCTAAATTATTACATATCAAATGGTTTCAATCTTTAATATATATATATATATATAAGACTGGACTTCTACAGAATTGTACTTGTTTATGCACGTTATTACAGTAGCTATTACTGGATAATCCAATGCATAATATGTAACAGCAGCATGTTTATTGACCTAATTTGGCATAATATTTCTGATAAAATCTTATATATATATATATATGTATGTATATGTGTGTGTGTGTGTGTGTGTGTGTGTATATATTTTATGTTTTTCTTTGTTTGTTTGTTTGTTTATATATAAGTGATATTTAACAGAAATATTATGCCAAATTAAATCAATAAACATTTAATAAAATGTGATGTATATAACTTTGTTTATATGCAAGTAAACAATTTTTGAAAAAATATTACTTTCATGTATTTGTGTGTGTGTGTATATATACGCACACACACACATTTTTGTTTATAGAAATCATATTTATCAGAAATGTTATGCCTAAATTAAGTCAATAAACATTCTGGTAAAAAATTACTAATGTATAATAACTGTTTTTATATATTTATTTGTTTACAAGTAATATTTATCATGTATATAGTTTATTTATATATATAAATAATATTTATCAGAAACATTATGCCAAATTAAGTCGGTAAACGTATCTGTGATATAGAAATCATATTTATCAGAAATGTTATGCCTAAATTAAGTCAATAAACATTCTGGTAAAAAATTACTAATGTATAATAACTGTTTTTATATATGTATATTTATTTGTTTACAAGTAATATTTATCATGTATATAGTTTATTTATATATATAAATAATATTTATCAGAAACATTATGCCAAATTAAGTCGATAAACGTATCTGTGATTTATTATCGGCGTGTTGTTGTCGTCTCCGTGTACTGGAAGCTTGTGACACTATAACAAATTCCTTGTATGTGCAAACATACTTGGCAGTAAAGCTCTTTCTGACTCCGATTCTAAACTTTAAGCAAACAGTCTGCTACTCTCTTATTATGATGCCTATATGATTTAATGCAAAGCTGTCTTTTATGTAGGATCAGGATTTAGATGTCCTCAACCTGAATATCTGGGTGATCTCATTCTGCCACAGGTTATTAGACCAGATTTAGCAACTTGGATGACCACAAATGTAGCAGAGGATCTGCTTGAGAAGATTGTGATGAAGTTCTTTCAGGAAAAACAGCGTGACGTTGAGATCTGTGTGTATTTACCTTGTTTACAAATTCCCCATGGTCCTGTTCTTGACCTTAATCAAAGTCTTGGGCTTGTTTCTCTCTGCGTAGCTGGAGAACAATGAGTGCTTTATGCTTGAGCTGGAAGTGCCATGAAATCAGGTGGCTTACTAAACGCACACCAAACTGAGCTAATAAGAGTTTGTGTGTTTTGAAAGCCAGATGTGCCCCAGAATGGCAAGGGATGTTGTTGTAGTACCTCTTTAGCCAATGTGTGTTAACACAGTGCATTAATTCTTCTAGGAAAAAAGTTTTCAGTGACATGAAATTCAAATTCTTTGCTGTAGAGACAAATGTTTTTGCCTGCCTGCCGCAGGCATCAGTGTTCAAAGCATGGCTGGTAATGTAGTTGATGAATTCTTTGCGTGTAGAGGTCAGGTCCTCATTACATCAGCCACAGTGTTTATGCATGCTTTCATCACAAGTCCCCACAATGCAGTTGTTTCAAAGACCTCACTGGCAGTGATCCGTGCTGCAGCCATTTATCTAATGACTAGTAGGTAATTTCTCTTATAATGCAGCTAACAATTTAGTATAGCAGCTTTCAAAATAATAGTGATCATAGGACTGTTCACACTAAGAATGATAATGATAGCTAGAAAGTTTTAATAATCTAATTCTGTGAGAAAGGAAAGTCCAAATCATAAGTAGAATGGTAATACAGAGGAATGGTGTCATTGGAATCACTTTTAAAATGATTTTTGCTAGAGGTGCTCCGATCGATCGGCTACCGATCACTATCGGCCGATAATCACATTGGGATGTTTGATCGGCGGTCTCTAAAAAGGCCGATCTCAAGCTGATGACGCTGCCGTGAGAGATTTGGCACGACATGCAGCGGCACCGTCTCAGTCTCTGTCCGGCACGGGTGAAATAATTATAATGCTGAAGGTGAGGTATTTCTTCATATTACTTCATTAAATAAGTTATAAAGTAATTTGAAAACCTTGTGTGAGATGTAATTTCACAAACAGCGTGAGTGAATCACCGCGCACGCTCTCTCTCTTTCTCTCTCAAAATACGCAAATGGCTTCAAATCATCACACATCGCGTCTGTCTATAAGCGAGCTGCACTGCACAGTTGACACAGGAATTGTCACTTGCACAGTCGAGGCAGTGTCATATCGTCACTAAAGTGTATAAATTGCATTACTTTTTAATTCTTGCCAGTGTTTAAACATTCAGCGCTCGCGCGCTCTCCTGGAGACTGAGCGCTCATGCACACTCGCAGCACACACACATAATGCCAGGTTCACATTACTCCGTTTGCAGTGTTGTTTGCAGTAAATATGAACATGGATTGAAACGAAAATGTAGTAATTACTCCATAAATGCATATTAAAGTCTACTGTGTTTCACAATCAACACATATAGGCTATGGCTTTTTGGCTAGGTTTAAAGGGAAAGAGCACTTTTAGATCAACAAGGCAATTATAGATGGCACTCGTGGAGGAAGGAAAAGGTAGGTAAGTTCGTTATGAACCGCAGGATTGCTTGTAATAAAGATTTCAATGCAAAAGGAAAGGCAGTAGGGCTGACTATTTCTGTCAATGGTAAGTTTGTAAAAAACTTACTTTTAAAGTAAAAAGCATTGAATGTGTTGTTTATATTTATTATTTAAACATGTCTTTTTATTACTGTACTGTGTAAAAAAAAAAATTGTAATGCTTAAAAAGCATTTTCAGTGACAATGATTAAATTTGAAATCAAAATAATGGATAAATGTTGTGTTTGTGGTAAACAGCCATGATTCAGTAGCGGACTCCTGTGTGAAAGCTGCTTCTCCTCTCACAAGAGACACCTAAGAGGGGAGTTCTCCCCATTTTCAAAAATGAAATTCAGGCCCTGAATAAATATCTAAAAATCCTGTTTGTAGTATCACTATAAATAGTTATAAATGATAAAAAGAAGGCTTTAAAAAGATCGGTATCGGCAGATACTGCTTTCTGTGATCGGCCTCAAGGATAAAACATTTACAGCCAATCAGAATCCACCAACATTAAAGAGCTTGAGCATTTAAAGTGGCAGATGAAACCACTGCAGTAGAGCTGCGCAATTCTGGAGAACTTGAGAATCACATTTCTTTACTAGAGGTTCTGTCAAAATGTTAATTGCTGCAGAATATGATCGAGTGGGTGTTTGAATTTGAATCTTTTAACGTTATACCATGTTTCAGTGTCATAAGTTTACTTGTGCATATGCTTAGCTGTTTTCTTTGTTGTGTGAAAATGTCTTTCTGTGCTCTGGCTGCGTTGCTGTAAGGGAGTGTTTCCTCTACTGCTGTGGTGACTGTGTCTTGTGAAACAGTGTTCAGGAAATTCAGGGAGACACGTGTTTGGTAAAGGAAGTGTGTACATAGTGTGTCTATGTAACGCCATTTCTATGTATTTTAATCTGGTAGGGCTCTAGTTCGTGTACTGTAAACAGAAACTGCCCTTTGAAAAGGGCCAGGAACATGAATCACTTCATGAAAGAGAATAAATGACTGATATTACTGGTTTACGTATACTGAGTTTTTCCACATAAACCATATGTGTTTACGTAATTTTGCATGAAAGCTGTCATTTCCTAAAAGCTACAGATAAATCTGATCCGGACACTTTCACTTTTGTAAGAACGCTCTATATCCGGAGATAAAGGGAACATGATGGCAAGTGACGTGCTGTTTTGAAAGCCACATGGATGCAGGTGTTTCGATGCGGAGGCTTGACTGCTTTTTATATTTCTCAATTTGTTTGCATTACACTTGCCAGTGAAGTTTAATTTTAAACTCATGCATTCATACTCGCAAACAGTGTTGATATTTTCAGCTTCACTTTCCCCAGCTGATATTGTGTACAGCAGCCGTATATAGAAAACCTGTGTTTAGCGCTCATCAGTTGTGGCTAAATCTTACTGCTGAATGAGCTGTGGAGGCCAGCTGAACTGGGAGCATTTGGATCAGATGGTGACGTCTTAATCTCCGTCCTTCATTCAGCATCTGAGAGTGAAGCTCCTTTTAGATTAGCTACTCAACCTGCAGCAGTGTTAACACTATCATTCACCAGTTAGAGCTTGTTAATCCTGCTGTGTGTCATGATATTGAGACTAGAGCCCGACCGATATATATAGTTTTACCGATATTATCGGCCC